CAAACGCCATGCGCGGTTGAAGACCACACTCTCTTCTGCACCCTGTGCAGAGGGGTTGAGTAGACAACTTTAGGGCTGTCGTGGTGGCCAACCTCAAGGGGTTTGACTTTGACGACTACCACGGACTACAACGTCCAACCATGAAAACTTAAAAGAGGAAACAACTGCAGGTAGTCTGATAGCCGTTCCAAGTGGAGGGGGTAGACCAAGGCGAAAGGTGCGTGCGGATGATGCTCAAGCTCAGACCCACACACAACCCGATGTTTGAGACGTTGGAGGCTCGTACGTGGGTCCCCATAGGCCGACTAGGACTGATATCCTGCCCAAGAGTGGTTTCGCGCTGCCTAAGCTTGGGTTTACTTGCCCTAACGTGCTTTTGCCCTCTCTGCTCGTCCCATAACTTTCGAGCGCGAAGATCGGTAAGTGCTTCGTGCGCGGGTTAATATAAAACCGCGCGGACGCAAGACCTACGCCTACCAACCAGCAATGCAGATTTGCGTAAGCAGTCGTAATGACGGCGCTTTATGTGGTGCCCATACATGAGTGGCCTCATTTGAGCCATGGGGGCGTTCTCGACGCTCAGGCATCGGCTGAAGTGTGCGCTAAAGGGAGCTAACCCTTTGGCGAGCGCAAAACAGGCCTGAGGGCCTTTTCATCTTCTGCACCCTGAGGTGTCCCAAGAGGCGCGGGGTAAGACGGTCCCTAGGGCAGAAAGGAATTTAGAGCGGTGGTGAGTTGTCTGGCGCATCACCAGCCACACGCTAGTCCTTCCCCCCGGAACTTTGTCGTTCCACCAAAATAAATCTCAACAAGGAAAAGACCCTTGACACCATCAGAAGAAAACCTTGTCAGCTGTTAGGTTTGGGACTTGGGACGTCCTGGACAAGGACCCTGAATTCCAGGCTTGGGATAACTGTCCTACCACCCGAAATCAAAGAGGACGCAAGCGTGCGGTCGCATAGCCCTATGAGGGTTACCCGAGGGTACACCTACTTAGATTATCATATTATCAGAACGGGAAGAAAACAATCTTGCTCAAACAACAGGTTGTGGGGTAGTTCACTCTCACGAGAGTTGTGTGGTTTGCCCATCTGAATCCAAAGCAATATCACTCAACATGAATCAAACGAGACTCTTCCAGACTTACCTGCAATCACATCAAAGAGTCAAGCCAAGATCCACGCGCTACACAGAGTCAACTCCAACCAACATACCCCTTGCTTTAGCCATGCAAGCCCCAACCTCCAGCCAACCAACCATAATTAAATACTCAGTACCTTTGTTAAATGGCCATTCAACAAAAGTCCGGGTGAAACCATAACAAAACAATAAAGTCACCAGGGCTAAAGCCTTTTTAGGTCGAGTATTGAGAGTGAATTGGGGTTGAGTCGTAAACCGACGAAACGGCAACCAACCTGTTATCAGTGATAACAGAAGAGTATTCTTTTGAAGGAATAGGCTGAACAAATCAAGCCTTCAGTCGAAACACGAAAAACCTGCATCACAGTACAGGTTAAAGGAAAGTACTGCTTATGTTTATGCCAAGGGGAAAACATCCCCCCTGGTCGTATCCTATCTCCTCTACTAGTATCAAGTCACTGAGTATCTCCTCTAGTCAGGATATATCTGCTAGCTGAAAAACATTCTAACTCCTCAAATTCTACGACATTTCGGCAGCGCTTCCCGTAGGAAAAGTGCCTTTTCAGAATTTCTACAAGCTCAAAATGACTAACTCTTTCATATTTGTAGAAATTTCGGCAGCGCTTCCCGTAGGAACAAGAGTCTGCCAAGATTTATACGAAGCTGAAAGATGAAAAGACAAGCAAGGCTACACTTGGGACTAACTCCTGACACCTGCGTGATGACTCAGGATCAATGACAGCCAGCGCAAACTCAGGTGGGATTGTGGACTAGCATTGACCCTAACTCTTAGCAGGGTCAGTCCTATCTTTATCCCAAGTTCCCCCTCCCATCATCCATCTGACTTACCTGCGGCTCCAGCACTTGGCGAGCATCTAAAGCAACTATCCTATCAAAAAGACGCCCCAAGTGAGAGCCCATAGACCTGCATAAACAAGCATCTCACACAATCCCACATCAATTTGCCCAAGTAGTTCGTTAGATCATTGAGTGCTTTCCCTTTAATAAACCCCATCGCATATGGCATACGATCAGACTCACTTGAAATGGAAGGGTGTATTTGATCTGCCTAAATAACAGATAAAATACGCACAACTGGACTGCCCTAACCCTTAGGGTATGCCAAACATAACATAAACAATATACGTAATGCATGTGACCAGACCGCCCTACCCTAGGGTACGTCTGGTTCCTGTCAACCCAATGACATGAGGCATAGGACCGGGCCGCCCTAACCCTTAGGGTGCCCAGTCTGCCTTATACCAGGTTACATATGGCATACCATTAGACCATCCTTACCCTAGGGTACATCTAACTTGCCTGAACATAGGTACAAACGACAAAAAGTCGGACCGCCCTACCCCAGGGTACATCCAACTTACATTACATCAACGACACAAGCATATCACTAGGCCGCCCTAACCCTTAGGGTTCGCCTAGTTAGCCATACAACATGTAATATGATACAGACACCTGCACAAACTTTACGTCTTTCCTTCTCTTGCTAGGCAGTCGATCGGACCTTTCCAACAAATGAAACTTCCGACCCTCCTTCTTTGTTTAGAAGGGAAAATAAAACAGATTTATACCAACGCTCTGCTCCTTAGTGTTATCATGAGCATGCAACTGAACGCCCTACCCTAGGGTACGTTCAACCTGCCCAGCTACGTTCTTTTTATTCTTCATCTATTTCCTTTCTTCTTTAGTTCTACCTGACTTATTGACTGGCTTTCCCTACACCCTAGGTAGGGTGCCCGGTCTGTCAGAAGTATAAGTTCAAAATAGCATACGTATCAAGTTTTATAATTTGGTTGACCAATTGATTCATGGCTCATGGCTAAGCCGCCCTACCCTAGGGTACGCTTAGTCTTATGCCCTTTGTCCCCTAAAAAAAAAACATACTCCTCAACTCATTACAATAAACACCAGGACTCTGAGCCTTCCCTACCCTAGGGTGCCCGTCCTCCTGTTCAGAAACCCCAAAGGAAACAGCGACTGATCCATCCTACCCTACGTAGGACCAACCATAAAAAGTCATTCACGCAGCCCAACAAATATCAATAAAACATAGCACTGAGCCCACATCCACTCGGAGGAGCTCAGCCTTGGGTTGACCCGGTCAAAGCATGCAAAACACCTTCATCCCACCTTCCCCCAGACAAGGGGTGGTACTAGCACCACTCCTTGTCCTCCTGCTTTCCTTCTTCCTTGTCCTCCTCCTTCTTTGTCGTCCTCTTCCATGTTTGTCTTCCTCCTCGTCCTGTTTTTCTTCTTCCTCCCGTCGTCTGTTTGTTTGTGTTGTCCTTGGAGTCCACCTTTTGTTCGTCGTTCCTCTTGTCGTCGTCGTCCTCCTTGTGTTCTTCTTCCTCCTCCTCCTCTGTCCTCATCTCCTGGTCCTCGTCATGATCCTCCTCCTTCCTTCTTTGTCATCCTTTTCTCCATCTCTTCTCCTCCTTTTCTTCCTCCTCCCTCTTCTCTTCCTACTTGTCTTCTTCGTCCTCCTCGTCTCTTTCTTCCTCCTCCATCTCTTCGTCCTCGTTTTCGTCTCTTCCTCCTTACTTGTTCGTCGTCATCTTCTTCCATCTCTTCTTAGTTCCCCTCCTCCTCTTTTCTTCCTCCTACATCTCTTCATCCTCGTCATCGTCTTCCTCCATCCTTCTTTGTCCTCTTTTTCTTCCATCTTTCTTCATCCTCCTACTTGTCCTCCTCTTCTTCTTCGTCGTTGTCCTCCTCGCCCCCTCCCTTCTTCCATGTTTTCTTCCTCGTGGTCCTACTTGTACGTTCTTCCGCGTCCTAGTCCTCGACCTCTTCTTCTTCTTCCTCCTCTTCGTCCTCCTCTTCTTCTTCGTCCTCCTCCTGCTCATCTTCCTCTCCTTCTTCCTCCTCGTGCTTTCTTTTGTCTGCCTCCTTATCTTCCGCCTCCATGTTTCTCTCCTCGTATTTGTCCTCCCGCCCTCCTTGTACCTCCTTCCTCATCTTCGTCGTCCATGCCTTCCTCCTCGCTCTCCTCCTCCTCCTTCCTTTTGTGTCCTTGTTTTCCACCTTTTGTTTTTCCTCCTCACCGTAAATTCTTCTTCTGCCTCACTCTAGTTGTCATACCTCGCCGCCGCTGTTAAATCCTGCACTTTGGCTGCAACACCCCCCAACCCCTTATTGCTTTCTGGTCTTACCTCCTTCAGGTGTACACAAATTGATCAACTTTTTGTTTTTCAATCAATCAATCAATCAATCAGCTCAATCCATCCATCCAATCAATCAATCAATCGATTAACGATTCAAATTGATTGGATCGTGAATCGATTGATTGATTGATTGGATGGAGATTGAGGTGATTGATTGATTGATTGGAAAAAAAAAAAACACAGAGGAGGAGGGGGATGACTAGGAGGAGGAGGACGAGGGGGAGGAGGAGAGGGATGGTGAGGAGGAGGAGTGGTGTAACAAATACAACCTTTTTTTTGTTTTGTTTTTTCAATCAATCAATCAATCAGTCCATCGATCAATCAATCGATCAATCAATCAATCATCCAATCAATCACTATATCGATTTATAGCGACGTTAAATAATTCTTGAAGAGTTAAGGGGGATCTCCTTAAATGCCTCTTGATCAACATTGAAGTCATGTAGTGACAACTTAGTAGTAGGTCTAGGCTAGATACCATAGTTGACGGGGTCCTACACGGGTCCTGTACTCCGTAAAGAGTCAGTCAGTCGGACGGTGGGTAGGTCTAAGTGGTGAGGGGTGGGGCAATCCTTTTTTTTTGTCGTGCACCTATCACCATGGACGACTATCTGATGTACGGCCTGCTCGTGGGGTTCTCCCTCTGGGGAACCCTCTGGTGTCTCCTTTCTTCGTTAGGCTTCTGGAACACGTCGACGTGTAGAGTGGAGACAAGGGGTGGTACTAGCACCACTCCTTACACAAAAGAGCAAGAGGAGGAGGCTGCAAAGATCCTGGCCGAACAGAAGCCCAAAAAGGAGGGAATTGGTGAAGCAGGCCAAGAAGTTGGCCTTACAGGAGCAGCATGCAAAGAAGAAAAACAGTTGGAGGAAGAGATGGAGACGAAAAAGGAAGAGGAGGAAAAGCTAAAGGCGGTGGAAGAAGAAGAAGAAGAGGAGGTGGAGGAAGAAGTGCCCTTCTAAGGTAGAGTAGAAGAGAAAGAGGGGAGTCAAGTGGCATGAAAGTGGAAGACCAATGGATGGAAAAGAAGGTGTCGTAATGGGTTGCCAACCTGTCTCTGGGGGAAGATGAAGAAGCGATATTACATGTCCCCAGGGCGTCGCTGGGGGAAGATGAATAAGCGATGTTACATGTCCCCAGGGCGGAACAGGAGGCAGTGGTGAAGGAGCTGGAAGCAGAAGAAAACCCCTTACGCCGCGAGACTATAGAAGAGGAAAATGAGTTAGAATGGAAATTGTGCCTCGCAAGGGAGAAAATGCAACGGATGGAGGCAGGAGATAAGATGGCGAAGGAGCTGAAGATGGTGGAGGAGCAGAGGACACAGATGGAAGGACTTGCAGGGGAAGATGGAGATTATGCCAAGAATATAGGACTTCTGGCAAAGGCTCAACAAGATTAGTTTCAGTTTGTGATGGGCCAGGAAATCACTTTGCAGTCCATACGGTTGGGCTTCAGAGAATTCGAGCGCGAGATGATGATGAATGTAGGCAAAGAGATGATGACGAGAATAGAAAATACAGAGCGCTTCTGCATGGGCGCAATAGAGGGTGCCAAGCTGGCATCTCCAAAGGAGGAGGAAGTACGCCCGCGTAGAGACCCAGTCAAAAGTCAAGTTCCCTAATCCCTACAGTGGGAAAAAGGGGGAGAACTTTGACAATTGGGAGGCGAACATTAATTCCTATGTTCACCTCCAAAAGATTGTGCCTAAGGAGCAGGTTCTTATTGCATTCCATGCTCTTAAGGACGAAGCAGCAAGCTTCGCCAGATCACTCGCCCACGCTGCTAACTTCGAAAATAATATTGGCTTACTCCACGAACACCCCCCTAAACGAATTCTTTAAATTGTTGCGCGAGACATTTGTCGATGCCACTAGAGGGATTAGGGCCTCTGACAAACTCCAAACCATTTACTCGCATCAATGGAAGAGTGTCAGGGCACTCAAGGGAGTCATGGATGAGTTTGTTGCCGTCCCTGGCCATGGCATTACTGAGACCCAACTGGTTCAGTTGTTCTATCGTGCCCAACCTGAGCCGTTGTGCGGGCATTTCTTCGAAAAGAGTGGGGAGTCAACTATGACCTACGATACCTTGAGTAGGGAAGTAGTGACTTTCAAGGCCAGCACATGCCAGCATCCACCTTCTGGCACAAGGATTTTGACAAGGGCCAAAAATGGAAAGGCCGTACCATCTCTGGCAAAGTCAGGGCTAAGTATCATTTGATCCTTACCTTAGATGAGGGTGGTATGGAAGAGGTCCCATACAACCATATAGAATGGGGCCTGGAGGAGGAGGAGGTGGCAATGGTCAGGGAAGGACATGTTGATGTCGCGGCTGGAGGGAGGCAGCAAGGAAGAGGAGGAGGTCGGGCCTCCGGTGGTCGAGGACAGAGCGATCAGGGGGTTGGCGGCAGAGGTAACCGCCAAGAGGGAGGTAGGGGTCAAGGTCCCCCGCAAAACCGCTCTCGTTACAACCGATCACCTTCCAGGAGGGGTGAATGGCACCATGGCTTGCCACAAGGCAGGCCTTGAGTTGGGCCTAGAACATACAGAATGGTAGAGGAGGATAGACGAGGATCGATGCATATATTGCGGTGATCGGGGGCATATCATTAAATACTGCCCCAAATATGGAGAGGCCCAACGCGCTGTATAGGCAGCAAAACGCAACCGCCGGTAGGGGTCGCAACTGCCCTTACCCCTAGACCATGTGGACAAGAGTGCGCCCACCACAAAGAAACTCCCAAACCACATGTGTCTATGGTAGAGGTTGCTGGCAAGTGTCTAGGTAGCTGTCCAGAGATTGCGTGTGTTAGAGTCTCTCTAGGCACTTCCTTCACAGGTCTGGCAGAGGAGTTGAAGGAGAGGATGCGGTCTGGGCCAAGATGAGGAAAGATGGTAAGGGAGAACTACTAGAAGATGTAAAAGTCTTTAGAGGCAGAGTAGGGGCCCATATAGATAGTGGGGCCACCCACAGTTACATTAGTAGGAAAGCGCTGCAGAAGCTGAAGCTTAATTTAAAGGTCCAAAAGCTAGAAGACCCTATAGTTAGTATCCTCACATACAATCACACTATGGGAGTCGAGGATTACGTCGAGGTAGTCCAGGCATACTTTCGCCAAGAGAAAGATGGGAAGGTATAAAGAGTTCTACATTCCCTGACTCTCCTCGTAGGAGATGATCTCCCATTCGTTGTGGTCCTGGGAATGGACTGGGGAGAGGCAGCAGGGGCCGCACTTCATCTGAGAGGGCACGAGTGTAGGCTCTGTAGTCCATCGGGCGAAGTTGAGATTGCTCGCTTGTTCCATGTGTAAGGAGTAGATAACCCTCTGGCACATTGTTGTCTCAACACTCCCACGTCCGCACGATTAGTAAAGGAGCAATTAGAAGAACAGGTTTTTGTAGCTTATGTAAGGTCTGCCACTGAGCCTATGGAAGAGGAACCCACTAACCTAGTTATTGCCAAGTTGCTGGAGGAGTATGCCTAAGCCGCCTACAAGAGTAGTACGGAGGCCAATCCAACATCGCATTGAGATAGAGCTTGACAGTTGCGCAAGCAGTTAGATGAGCTCCTCGAGAAGGGTTGGATTATGCCTAGTTCATCTCCGTTTGGAGCACCTATCCTGTTTGTCCCCAAGGAGGGAGAGCTTCGAATGTGCATTGACTACAGGGGTCTTAATGTCGTCACAATAAAGAATGCAAAACCATTGCCCCGTATAGATGATCTGGTAGATCGGGTGCACAACGACAAGTACTTCTCTAAGATAGGTTTGAAGTCTGGCTATCATCGGATAGAGGTACATCCCGATGATCAGTACAAGATGGCATTCAAGACTAGATATGGGCACTATGAGTTTATTGTGATGTCCAAGCCACATTCCAGCGCTGTATGAATGATTTGTTTAGGCCATGGTTAGATAGATTCCTATATCTAGATGATATTCTCGTATTTAGCAAGACCCTCCAGGAGCACGAGGGTCATATGAGGCAGGTCTTGGAAAAGTTGAGAGAAGTCAATTTCAAGAGTGGGCCAAGACGCAAGCTTTGCACTTGGGCCACGTTTTAGATGGAGATGGCATAAAATATGAGGATAGTAAGATAGCAGCGATCCGAGATTGGCTGATGCCCCACACATTGACAGAGTTGTGGTTGTTTCTAGGCTTAGCAAGCCATTATAGAAAGTTTGTGAGGAACTTCTCTACCATCGTTGCACCCCTTCGCAGGTTGTTAAAGAATAGACACAATTTGGGAGTGGGATAAAGATTGTACGTCAACCTTAAAGAAGTTAAAGCGGGCCTTAATAGAATACCCAGTCCTTAAGGTAGCCGATCTGTCCTTACCTTTTGTTGTCACTACTGATGCAAGTCAGTACGATATAGGTGTTGTTCTGCAACAAGATGATGGCAATGGGTATAGACCCGTAGAGTTCATGTCTGCTAGGATGCCTTCAGAGAAGGTAGCGACATCCATCTATAACAGGGAACTCTATGCTCTCAGGCAAGCATTAGATCACTGGAAGCACTGCTTGCTTGGGAGGCACTTCAAAGTGTATTCAAATCACGAGACGTTGAGGTGGTTGAAGACCTAGGCCCCTATCTATAGTGACCCTATCTATAGGAGAGCTGATTACTTTGGAGTGATAGCTCACTATCTGGACATAGGGAGAGACCTGCAACAGGAAGTCAGGGAAGCGTACGAGTAGGACCCTATCTATAGTGACCTCCTTCAGAGAGTTAAGGAGTCCCCAGAGTTTGAACCAGATTACCACACTACAGACGGGTTGTCATTCGAGAAGACTAGTGTAGCGGATCGTTTATGCGTTTCCAACAGCAAAGAGATCGAGAGTTTGATCTTAGGGGAATGCCATGACACAAAGGGACATTTTGGTTGGCAGAAGATGTTAGCCAACCTTATTCGCGCGTATACGTGACCTGATATGACGACTGACTGCATAGAGTATGTACACAGTTGCAAGGTGTGCCAGCGGAATAAGATCACTACGCGAGCCCCTTTTGGTCTTCTTAGACCATTGCCTATTCCCGCGGGACCCGGAGATTCTGTGTCCATTAACTTTATGGATGTTGGGGTCAGGAGTAGGCATGGCAAGAGCCAAGTCATGGTTACAGTTGATATATTTAGTAAGTATGCAGTTTTTGTTCTTTTGCCCTCAGGGGCACGTACAAATTTAGTCATAGACAAGTTCTTTGCATGGTCTACCGCTGTTAAAGTTAGTGACAGAAATACCAGGTTCACTAGTGAGAATTGGCAGGAACTGATGAGAGTCTACGGCTCCAAGTTGTTAATATCGTCTGATCACCATCCAGAGACTAATGGCCAGACCGAACAAATGAACAAGATCCTGCAATAAGTTCTCCGAATGTACATTAGACCTGATCAAGTCAGTTGGGATGAGATGCTCCCAAAGGTAGCCAGTGCCTATAATAACAACGTGCACTTAGCCACTTGTCGCACTCCCAATGAGCTGCATAAATCCTTTAAATCGCGTAAACCGTCTGGAGGATTGAACCGCGATCAGATTCAAAGGCTACCGCCCAGTACTAGGGAGTTTGCGCTACAACATGAGAAAGAGATTATTACCGTGGTAGAGAACCTAAGGAAGGCTCTAACACAAGATGAAAGAGCAAGCCAACAACAAACAGCGTCACCCATCACAATTCCAAATAGGTGACTTAGTCTGGGTCAAGTCTAAGGAGTTTGCTCCTAAGGAAAACATTTCGTAGAAGCTATTGCCTGCATATAGAGGACCGTGGACAGTCCTAGAAGTCAAGGGTGAAGAAGATGCACCGTCCTATACGATAGAGATTCTAGGACACCTCCACACCTACCCAGTTTTCCATGCGTCAAAGTTGTTGCTGTGTAATACAAGTCAGCAGTTTCGATCGCGGAGATCCATGATCCCTCCGGATATGGATGGAAGGTATGATATTGATCGC